CCTCCTGCGTCCTCTCTTCCTGCCCTTGCTGACCCGAAGTCTGACTCTCTTCGTGCTGCCAGTCCTCCTGTCACGCGTCTGCTCGCCACAGTTGTCACTGACCCTTCCTTTGAGTCCGCTGCTGCGTCTGCCTTGGTTACTGAGCTTGTCGACTTCGCTGCTCACTGTCATCTAGAGTACGCTGCGAGTCTTGTTGCTGAGTCTGAGTCTGTCTGTCCTCCGTCCGTAGGGGGTGAGTGTGCTCTTGGCACGGACGTCCTTGAGGACAGACAGGAGGACCTTGAGTGTCTTGCAGCAGCTGCGCCTCATGCCGTGTCCATGCTGATTGCCCCTCAGGGAGACCCGGATGCTCCAGACATTCCGACCCCGCGCTCTTACGCTAAGGCGATCGCGGGTGAGTACTCCTCTCAGTGGCAGACAGCCATGGATGGAGAGATGGCATCCTAGAAGTCCACTGGCACTTACGTTGACGAGGTTCCCCCTCCTGGGGCGAACATCGTCAGTGGCATGTGGATTTTCAGAGTGAAGCGGCCGCCAGGTTCTCCGCCTGTCTTCAAGGCTCGTTACGTTGCTCGAGGCTTCAGTCAGCGAGAGGGAGTAGACTTCTTTTAGACCTTCTCCCCCACCCCGAAGATGACCACTCTTCGGGTGCTACTGCACGTTGCCGCTCAGCGTGACTACGAGCTTCACTTTCTTGACTTCAGCACTGCTTTCTTGCAAGGCAGCCTGCACGAGGAGATTTGGCTGCGCCGCCCTCCTGGCTTCACTCAGTCGTTTCCTCTTGGTACCCAGTGGAGCCTCCGGCGGCCGGTCTACGGTCTCCGCCAGGCGCCACGTGAGTCACAACACACTGAGGACTACACTTGCGGCTCTTGGGTTCGCACCTTCTACTGCTCACCCGTCGCTGTTTCTGCGCACTGACACTTCACTGCCGCCGTTCTACATCCTCGTGTACGTCGACGACTTGGTCTTTGCCACTGCTGACACTGAGGCTATCGCCAACGTTAAGTCCGAGCTGCAGAAGAGACACACGTGCACAGAGCTGGGTGAGCTTACAAGCTATCTTGGCTTGCGGATCACCCGGGACAGAGCACGCTGCACCATCACACTGACTCAGTCACACATGGTGCAGTAGGTCCTTTAGCGCTTCGGCTTCACCTGGTCCTCAGCACAGCCGACTGCTCTGGCTACAGGTCACTCGCTCTGAGCTCCACCTTTGGACGAGTCCATAGAGCCGAGTGGTCCTTACCCAGAGCTAGTTGGCTGCCTTATGTACCTGATGACTTGCACTCGTCCTGACCTCGCGTACCCTCTTGGCCTTCTAGCTCGCTGCGTGGCTCCTGGTCAGCACCGAAAGGTGCACATGGATGCTGCTCAGAGGGTACTGTGCTACTTGTGCAGTACGTCAGGCATTGGGCTCGTGCTTGGAGGGAGGAGCTCAGTTGTTCTCACTGGGCACTCAGACGCTTCTTGGGTTGACGACCAGGCTACTCAGCCGTCATCACAGGGTTACACCTTCAGCCTTGGCTCTGGTTCAGTTTCTTGGCGTTCTACTCGCTCGTCTTCAGTTCTCAGCTCCAGTTGTGAGGCTGAGATCTATGCCATAGCCATGGCTGCACAGGAGATATGCTGGCTGACCTACCTGCTGACCGACTTGGGAGAGCGGCCTTGTTCTCCTCCAGTGCTGTACGTTGACAACAAGGCTGCCATTGCCTTGTGTGAGGAGCACAGACTGGAGCACAGAATGAAGCACATCGCTCTGCGTTACTTCCTGGCTTGAGAGCTGCAGCAGCGTGGTCAGCTTTGTCTGCGTTACGTGGCAACTCAGGCCAACACCGCTGATATATTCACCAAGGCACTTCACTCTGGTGATCATCAGCGCTTCTGCACTATGCTGGGGCTTGTGCCCACTTTTCCTCACTTGCTGTAGCCTTTACCTGTACTGTGATCTCTATATATCTATACCTGCTTGTTTGCTTTGCTAGGTCAAGATCCCTGTGTTTTTTGTACTGCATATATGTCTCTGCATGTGAACTGGCCTTATGGCCCTTTGCTTGTGCTCAGAGTGTGTGGTGACGTTGTGATCCACCCTGAGCTTGCTTTGTCTTTCTTGACTGGTCGTGTGACCCCTTGCTCTCCCCCACTTAGCCTATGGGGGTGTGTCAAACATTATATATGTTACTGCTGTGTAGGCTTTAGTGGGTTAGCCTTTAGGGGGTACATTTCTCTAGGGTTTCATACTTGTACTCCCAAATGTTTCTAGTTCATCACTTCTTGATTCTAACACATATACATATACATATACATATACATATACATATACATATACATATACATATACATATACATATACATATACATATACATATACATATACATATACATATACATATACATATACATATACATATACATATACACATATACATACCCATACATATGTCGAGAAGAATGGGATGGTCGTTAGGTCAAGGGGAGGGGTACAAGAACAACATCGAGTGAAATTCTGTACCCCCTAGTGCTAACACCCATATAGCCTAAACAACATAAGCATATATGTTTTGACACACCCCCATAGGCATGGGGGATAGCGAGAGAAAGCAATGGTCACATGACCAGTCAAGAGAAACGACAAAACAAAGCAAGCTCAGGGTGGATCATGAAGTCATCACACATTCTAAGCACAAGCAATTGGCCAGAAGGCCAGTTCACATGCACAGTTATATAATGTAGAACAAGCAGTAGAGTGATCACAACCTAGCAAGTGTAAGCATGCAGGTACAAGTATATACATCACAGTACAAACAAGGTCATGAAGTGAGCAAGTGAGGCCAAGTGGGCACAAGGCCTAGAACCGTACAGAAACGCTGATAATCACAACAGGGGAAGAAATATCAGAGGTAGGGAAACGCAAGCAGTCAGTAGAGAACGGGCCAACTACTGACGAGATTACCTGCTCGCCCAACCTCACTGACCCTCTTCGAGTCACAGTACCGATTGATGCTATCGATCGGGCTCGGCTGAATAAGGAGGGTACAGGGACGGGATTGCCCAGTACTGCTTTACGGGAAGATACAGAGGAGAGCGTCAAAAAAATTATCGAGGGAGGAGCAAGTCACAGCTTAGTCTGTAAGGGTCCACTGGTGATCCTCGATTGATCCTAGGGAAGGGTTACAGGCACGTTGGCCTGGGGGGTTATGGGCGCACTTACTCGCTACTGAAAAAAGCCCTTTTATCCCAGTGGTTAGTGGCTAGGATTCTGACATGGTATCAGAGCGAAGGTCTCGGGTTCGAATCCTAGTGTGTGCACTTCGGACATCCCAGTGCGGGGGGGTGTCAGAGGTCCAGTGGTGATCCTCGATTGATCCTAGGGAAGGGTTACAGGCACGTTGGCCTGGGGGGTTATGGGCGCACTCACTCGCTACACAAACAAGCCCTTTTATCCCAATGGTCAAGTGGTTGGGATTCGGACATAGTCAATACCGCGACCGCTCGAAAGCTCCAACTGACGCTTAACCGCTGCTTACCGGAAATAGACATACGCTTAGTCGACGGCACGCCTCCGGCCATACGGGAGAAAGTGGAGAGAGTAAAAGTTTGCTGCGGGGGGAACTTTGGGTTTACACAGGGAATGCTCGCGACGACACTGGATGGGCACGACATTTTACTGGGACGTGTTTGGCTGCGACGATACAACCCGCGAATTGACTGGACGACGGGTAGCTGCACTGTGCGAAGTAGTGGTAACTGGGTCGAATTACCTCGCTGGCAGTCCGCATGTGTGTTCAAGGGTCCACGTCAACGCCATCATGATGAAACGGGCTGTCACCGCTGGAGCTGACGTGTACGCAGTGGACATAGCAGTAGTGGGAGAAGTAGAGGCGAGGAGTGATTTTCAGAAACTTCTAGCAACCATACCGCCCGAACTACAGAAAGGACTGCCACCTCAGCGCGTACACGACCACAAAATAGTATTAGAACCAGGGGCACAACCAACTGTACAGCGACAGTTCTGACTGACACAGCCGGAGCTCGATGAGCTCAGGAAGTAGTTAGATTATCTGTTAGAGATGCAGTTCATCCGACCAAGTTCGTCACCATTCGCCGCACTGATACTGTTCACACCAAAAAAGGACGAAGGTTTTCGCATCTGTGTTGACTACCGAGCACTGAACCGAGTAACCATCAAATTGCGATACCCGATTCCCTGCGATGACAAACTGATAGACCATCTGCGAACAGCCCGAGTATTTTCGAAGATTGACCTACCGGGGGGTAACCATCAGATTAGGGTCGAACCATCCAACTGCGCCAAGACTGTTAAAATAGTAGGAGGTGGGGCCTAGGCTTAGTAGCCTAGGCCCACACTAGGAGGTAGGCAAGGTGCTTTAGAACTAGGACTTAGGGTTTGGGAAGGAGAATTGGAAGGAAGGGATGATGGACTAGCAAGCAGCAGGACACACAAATAGAAAACCCTAAGGGGTTGTACTCAGTATTGAGCACCCCACTGCAGGCTAGACAAATAACATTCTGACACACCCCCATAGCCAAAGTGGGGTGTAATCAGCAGAGCAGGCAAAGCAGTACAAGCTCAGGGTGGATCACAATGTCACCACACATTCTGAGCACAAGTTAAAGAAACAATAGTTTAAAGTTAAGAATTATTAGCAAAGCTCGTGGTAGTCACAACGGGCAAGTGAGGAGGAGGTGAGAGAGTGAGGGGAGAGGAGATAGGAGGCGACGGCTGAAGCTGCAGACACACGGGCAACAGGAGGCAGACTGGCACAGCGGCTACCGGACAGCGCCCGGACTACAGGAGTAACAGGCCCCGCGGCTCAAATAGCGGCGGACGGGCAACGGACCCACAGGCGGCTGGCGTAGAAGTCTAGCTCACTGGGCTACCGGGACAGCGCCCCGGACTACAGGTGCTGCGGACTACAGTATGGCAACTTCCATGCAGCTTCCCCAAACAGTCCCACCCCCCTGACACACACCCGCTGCTACACCGCTAGCTCCACTCCCACGCACGCCCCTTAAACCCTAAACCCCAGTCTCCCACACAACCACCCCCCTCAGCGACAGCTGCAGCAGTGGGAGACGAAGGAGGAGGAGGAGCAAAGGGAGGAATGCACACCAGCCACCCCCATACCCGCAAACGGGGGGGGGGGGGGGGGGAGAGCAGAAACAGTGCGCACGAGGGCGCAGACAGTAGAAGAGCGCACGAGGGCGCAAGGACGAGGCACGAGCAGCACCAGGCACATGCAGCACAGGGCAGCACAGGCACGGGCAGCACAGGGCAGCACAGGCACGGGCAGCAACAGGCACAGGCAGCACAGGCACGGGCAGCACAGGCACGGGCAGCACAGGCACGGGGAGCACAGGCACAGGCAGCAACAGGCACAGGCAGCACAGGGCAGCACAGGCACGGGCAGCAACAGGCACAGGCAGCACAGGCACGGGCAGCACAGGCACGGGCAGCACAGGCACGGGCAGCACAGGCACAGGCAGCACAGGGCAGCACAGGCACGGGCAGCAGCAGGCACGGGCAGCACAGGCACGGGCAGCACAGGCACGGGCAGCACAGGCACGGGCAGCGCAGGCACAGGCAGCAACAGGCACAGGCAGCACAGGGCAGCACAGGCACGGGCAGCAACAGGCATAGGCAGCACAGGCACGGGCAGCACAGGCACGGGCAGCACTGGCACGGGCAGCAACAGGGCAGCACAGGCACGGGCAGCAACAGGCACAGGCAGCACAAGCACGGGCAGCACAGGCACGGGCAGCACTGGGCACGGGCAGCACTGGGCACGGGCAGCAACAGGCACAGGCAGCACAGGCACGGGCAGCACAGGCAGCACAGGCACGGGCAGCAACAGGCATAGGCAGCACAGGCACGGGCAGCACAGGCACGGGCAGCACAGGCACGGGCAGCACAGGCACGGGCAGCACAGGCACGGGCAGCACAGGGCAGCACAGGCACGGGCAGCAACAGGCACAGGCAGCACAAGCACGGGCAGCACAGGCACGGGCAGCACTGGGCACGGGCAGCAACAGGCACAGGCAGCACAGGCACGGGCAGCACAGGCACGGGCAGCAACAGGCACAGGCAGCACAGGGCATACCGGGTCCAGGGGCGGCGTCTGCTGGGGCGGCTGCACCTGGGGCTGCTGCTGCAGTGGCGGCTCCAGGGGCTGCTGCTGCTGGGGCGGCTGCTGCTGGGGCGGCTGCTGCTGGGGCGGCTGCTCCATGGGCTGCTGCTGCAGTGGCGGCTCCAGGGGCTGCTGCTGCAGGGGTGGCCGTTGCAGGGGCTGCTGCTGTTGGGGCGGCTGCTCCTGGGGCTGCTGCTGCAGTGGCGGCTCCAGGGGCTGCTGCTGCAGGCTCTGACGGCAGCTGCTGCTGCTGGGCGGCGGCGGCTGCTGCTGCAAAGCGGCGGCGGCTGCTGCTGCTGGTAGATCCGCGGCTGCTGCTGGAGAGCGGCGGCAGCTGCTGCTGCAGGCGCGGTGGCGGCAGCTGCTGCAGGCCTGGCGGCGGCTGCTGCTGCTGGGTGGTGGCGGCCGCTGCTGTAGGCTCTGGCGGCGGTTGCTGCTGGCTCTGACGGCGCCCCGCGGGTCCTGCACGGACGCCGCGACGAGCAGGGGCGACGCCCCTCGGGTCCCGCACGGACGTCGCGACAAGTAGGGCGGCGCCGCGCGGGTCCCGCATGGACGTCGCGACGAGCAGGGGCGACGCCCCGCGGGTCCCGCACGGACGTCGCAACGAGCAGGGCGACGCCGCGCGGGTCCCGCACGGGCGTCGCGACGAGCAGCGGGGAGGGCAGCGCGCAGGCCCCCCCGAGGGCGCTTCGACAGACGGGAAAACCGCCGCGCGCCCCGAGCGCACGGCGGGATGAAAAACTCCGAAACCCTAAAAAAAAAATTCGCCGCGCGCTCCGCGCGCGGCAAGAAAAAGGACTGCAGCGGAAGCATAGGGGCCCACAGGCCAAGGGAGAACGGGCTCTGATACCATGTTAAAATAGTAGGAGGTGGGGCCTAGGCTTAGTAGCCTAGGCCCACACTAGGAGGTAGGCAAGGTGCTTTAGAACTAGGACTTAGGGTTTGGGAAGGAGAATTGGAAGGAAGGGATGATGGACTAGCAAGCAGCAGGACACACAAATAGAAAACCCTAAGGGGTTGTACTCAGTATTGAGCACCCCACTGCAGGCTAGACAAATAACATTCTGACAAAGACAGCTTCTCGCACTAGATACGGATCCTTCGAGTACACTGTCATGCCCTTCGGACTGACCAACGCCCCCGCGACATTTCAGATGACCATGAACGAGGCGTTTAGACTGCCATTAGATAAGTCCGTGATAGTTTACCTCGACGACATCCTAGTTTACAGCTGGGATAAGCAGCAGCACTTAACGGGCTTAGAAGCAGTGTTTAAGATTTTAGACAAGAATCGCCTCCTGGGATCAAAATGTGAGTTCTTTCAGGACCGGTTAGAATATCTAGGGCACGTGATTTCGGAGGCTGGGGTCAAAATTGACCTAAAGAAGTTGGATACGGTAAAAGCGTGGCGCCCCCCGACGAACCTCACGGAATTATAGAGTTTTTTAGGGTTCGTTAACTACGTCCGTCGGTTCGTCCCCGACATGGCGCAGCTGACTGCCCCACTGACTGACCTACTGCGATAAGGGGTAGAGTTTACGAGGGGGGAGAAAGAGCATGACGCCTTCTCTACCCAGAAAAATGTTATCTGTACACCACCCGTCCTGCGCATTGCCGACCCCCACCGTCCTTTCGAAGTCGTTACAGACGCAAGCGACATCGCCATCGGAGCAGTTCTATTACAGGATTTCGGCAATGGCCTCCAACCCATCGCGTACGAATCACGGAAGCTGCATCCGCCCGAGAAGAAGTACCCGATACACGACCGCAAAATGCTTGCGATCGTGCATGCTTTCAAAGTCTGGCGATGTTACCTGACCAGAGTCGACGTGACAGTACGGACAGATTACAAAACACTACAGTACCTCCACGCACACCCAAATCTCAACCCACGACAGATTCGCTAGCTCGATTTTCTCGACTCAAATTTTCACTACACGGTCACCTACAAAAAGGGAGCATCCAATATCGCCGACGCACTGACCCATCCCACTGCAAAAATTCATGCCATAATACTCGCCCAGACTAGCTCACTACTGACAGGACTATTTACCCACGGGTATCAAATCGACCCATTCTTCACAAAGAGGGAATTCGCAGCAGTTCGCAGTGGCAAAATGAGTTTATTACGCAAAAGCCGGCACCAACCGCATCTGGGTACCAGGGTATACTCTACTAAGCTGTTAATACAAGAGGCACTCGACGGCGTTACCTCGGGTCATTTCGGGGTAGAGAAAACACGGCAACAGCTACAGCAGTACTATTTTTGGCTCGAAATGTTGACCGACGTACAGCGACACGTGGCATCGTATCCCACTTGCCAGCTCATGAAATCATCACGGAAGCGGCCGGCACTGCAGTTGCAGCCGATACCATCCCCATAGCGTGCTTGGCAGTAGGTGACGACGGACTTCGTCACGGGGTTACCGGCCGGGGCGAGTGGGAACGACGCGATCCTGGTCGTCGTCGATCGGTTGACAAAGATGGTGCATTTCGCAACATGCAAGAAAACCATCCCAGCCAAAGAAACAACTCGGCTCTTCATCGCCACTGTCGTTCGACTACACAGAATACCAACAGCAATCATTAGCGACAGGGATACAATGTTTACTAGCAACTTCTGGCGGAATCTGTGGCAGCAGTTCAGCACGTGACTACAATTTAGTTCGTCGTACCACCCCGAGATTGACGGACAGACATAACGGACAAACCAGGCCATGGAGCAGCTTATACGAGCCACGTGCAACGATCCACTGACGTGGGAACAGCAACTGCCACTCATCGAGTTCGCGTACAACAACTCGCCATCCGCCACAACCCAACAGTCACCGTTTTATCTTAACTACATACAAGACCCCACAGTACCCATGACCCCAAATCCTGACAACCCCGTACCACGTGCGCAGCAGTTCGCCGGAATTTTACAGGCAGCACGGACCCGGGCAGCAGACGCAATAAAAAAATCAAGCTTAATCGCTAAATGCAACGCCGATCGCCACCGCCGTCCCGTCACTTACCAGCCCAACGACTTAGTTTTACTCGACACTCAAAACCTCTGCCTCCTCATTGCCCCGAAACTCCACCCCCGATATTGCGGGCCATTTCGTATTAGCGACATGATCACCCCCGTTACCGCCCACCTCCTCCTCCCCGCTGACTGGTACGTCAGCTCGTCCTTCCACATCACCCTCCTCCGCCCTTACGTACCATCCACAAGCCAACTGCCCCGCCACCGACCCGCCAGCATGACACGACCACCCATCGAGCCAGTCATCATACCCGAGAAGATTCCGAGCCATCGCGTTCATGGCCCATGTGGAGCCAGCAGGATCGAGTTCCTGATTCGATGGAAAGACCGCACCCCAACTAAAGACAATTGGGTTCCCCTGGACAAGATTGAAAACCACCCCGTCCTCACCGACTGTCTGCGCGTTTCCGGGACGTACATGCACTCTCGTAAGGAGGGCCTCCTTGGGGGGGGGGGGGGGGGGGGGGGGGGGATAGTGTAAGGAAATTTCCATTTCCTTACGCCGCATCCCTGCTTAGCGCATACATCACTGTAGCACTAGAGTCAGCGCCGTTACCACTCGCGACCCTCGCTTCGACAATCTTCCCGCCACCTCGCACATCGCAACCCGGCCTCCCGGCTCGGCTGGTAACCCGCGCTCCGGGCCTCCGCCTCGACACTTCCCCACCTCAGTCACAGGCCCGTCGCGCGTCAACCACAGTTCGTTACCGTTGCCACTGGAGGTGTATATGGGGGGGGGGAGGTGCGGGTGGTGTGCGGGGGGATATGGAGGTGTATATGGGGGGGGGGGGGGTGTGCGGGTGGTGTGCGGGGGGATATGGAGGTGTATATGGGGGGAGGGTGTGCGGGTGGTGTGCGGGGGGATATGGAGGTGTATATGGGGGGGGGTGGGGGGTGTACGGGTGGTGTGTGCGGGGGGATATGGAGGTGGATATGAAGGGGGAGGGCGGGTGGTGTGCGGGGGGATATGGAGGTGGATATGAAGGGGGAGGGCGGGTGGTGTGCGGGGGGATATGGAGGTGGATATGAAGGGGGAGGGAGGGTGGTGTGCAAGGGGATATGGAGGTGGATATGAAGGGAGAGGGAGGGTGGTGTGCAAGGGGATATGGAGGTGGATATGAAGGGGGAGGGAGGGTGGTGTGCGGGGGGATATGGAGGTGGATATGAAGGGGGAAGGAGGATGGTGTGCGGGGGGATATGGAGGTGGATATGAAGGGGGAGAGAGGGTGGTGTGTGGGGGGATATGAAGGTTCTCATCTCCCTCGCCCGTTCCCCTCCTGTCCCCTGCGAATCATTCTTTCACCATGGCACCATCCCCCCCTCAGCTGTCCATCCCCCTCTGCCTCTCACATCTGCATGCACTCACTATGTCTGGACGGAGCGAAGGCATATGTGGGAGTTGCTACACTCGATAGTGTCGATGGTGACGTGGGTAGGCGCTGGTGATAAGGACAAACACTGTTCGTTAGGGGTGGCGAAAGCGACGACGGGAGGCGAGGATTTAGAGGAGCAACTGGGGCAACGACACGTGCGCGTGACGAGGCTTAGCGCGCGTGGTATCAGCTTCAGCTAGTGATCTACGAAAGAGCGCAAGTGGATGGTTGAGCGCGTGACAAGGGGATGAGTGCGCGTAACGAGGGGGCAGTGCGCGTGACGAGGGGAGGATAGCGCGTAACGAGGGGAAGCGCACGTGACGAGGGGAGGAGGGCGCGTAACGAGGGGGCAGTGCGCGTGACGAGGGGAGGATAGCGCGTAAGGAGGGGAAGCGCACGTGACGAGGGGAGGAGGGCGCGTAACGAGGGGGCAGTGCGCGTGACGAGGGGAGGATAGCGCGTAAGGAGGGGAAGCGCACGTGACGAGGGGAGGAGGGCGCGTAACGAGGGGGCAGTGCGCGTGACGAGGGGAGGATAGCGCGTAACGAGGGGAAGCGCACGTGACGAGGGGAGGAGGGCGCGTAACGAGGGGGCAGTGCGCGTGACGAGGGGAGGATAGCGCGTAACGAGGGGAAGCGCACGTGACGAGGGGAGGAGGGCGCGTAACGAGAGGGCAGTGCGCGTGACGAGGGGAGGAGGGCGCGTAACGAGGGGAAGCGCGCGTGACGAGGGGAGGAGGGCGCGTAACGAGGGGGCAGTGCGCGTGACGAGGGGAGGATAGCGCGTAACGAGGGGAAGCGCACGTGACAAGGGGAGGAGGGCGCGTAACGAGGGGGCAGTGCGCGTGACGAGGGGAGGATAACGCGTAACGAGGGGAAGCGCACGTGACAAGGAGAGGAGGGCGCGTAACGAGGGAAAGCGGCTGTGTCGAGGGGAAATGCGCGTGAAGGAGGGAAGCGCGCGTGACGAAGGGGAACGCGCGTGACGAAGGGACGAGCGTGTGACAAGGGGTGTAACGCATTGCTCAATAACCAACTTCCCTCTAAGCAAATGTCGAGAGCTTCCTCAACAAAGAGGGACTTGGAGAAGAAGGTTGGCTTTGGTTGGGATGGAAGGATTGGTTTGGCATTCCAAACCTCAACCAAAAGGTTTGAGAAACTCCAACCCATCAAAGTGAGAATGAAGGTTGGAATTTGAACCAATCACAAACTGCCAAACATTTGTTACAATCTACTATATCATAAACACAACTGTTCAATGGTTCTAAGTTGGGTTTTCCCAACCCAACTAATTGCCACATAGGCTCCAAGCCTAGGGACCATCCCACCATGGAAACCATGGTTGGGGAAGTCTCCCAAGGGGTGTATTGAGGGGGTTTGAGCTAACCAAGCTCATTCTTCACCTCCCACTCCAACAAAACAATTGGAAATGAGATTATTTGGCTAAGCTTTTCTGTCTTTCACACAAGCTTCCCTACACTACTACTCCAAGTGTTTTTCATCAAAGGCATCAAGAAGATCTTCATCTCTAAGGTTATTAAGGCTAGTTGGGGCTACTATTTTGTATTGGATTATTATAAAAGCATAATAACCGCCATTATAATAGCCTCAGGCACTACATTGGTATATAGAGCAAAGGTTCTTCCTTGGCATTGTGTGGCCATTTTACTTCTTTGAGTTTTTTTGCTTTTTTTTTTAAGGATCCTAGCTTGTGGATCTAGGATTTTATCTAAGAACCAGAGAAGATCTTGAAGAGATTTCAAGATCTATATGTGTTTCTTCAAAAGATCTACAAAAGCTTCTACAAGATCTACAAACTCCAAGCTACAACTACTTCAATCCTTCATTGGAGTGCGCGATCTACAAGGAGCTTCTTCATCTTCATCAACATTGAGAAGAAATTTGAAGAGAATATTTTCTCTTACCCACCTTTGGTGGAAAACTCTTGATATACCTTGAGTAGAAGAGATTAGTTTTAGATCTACAAAGATTTGTTGAGAATTACTCTTTTGAGTATATCTTGCTCTATCATTGAGGTGAAATAGAGATTTTGCAAACAAGTCAATCTTAAAAGATTATGTATTGGATTATTCTATAAGAGTAATAAGATTTCTCAAGTATTATTATAAGATCCGTTGAGATTTTCTTTTCCTTAACCTATTTCATGTCTTCGGGTTAAGAGATAGATGCTACTAAGGAGGTGCCTGTTATTGGCAATGAAGGAGATAATGCTGCTGCTGATGCTGACATTAATCTCAACCTTGATGACTTCGTGGTTGACATGTGGATCAATAAAAGTGAAGCTGATCTTGAGGCTGATGCTGAAATGAGGATGAGGCTGGCTCTGATGAGGGTGTTTCCAATGAGATTGAGAACATTGCTGTGAAGCTCCAGACCCAGCTCACGGAGCAGCAATTACTCATTGGAGAGCAGCAGTGCCGAATCCAGAACTTGGAGGCCGATTCTATTAAGCTTCAGGCCTTGATTGAGAAGCTGATCAGGAAGGTGCAGTTGATCCCTAAGGAAAACGGCACCTCCAGCTTCATTCAGGACCTGCATACCACTCTTCAGTTCGTGCAGGATCAGTTCAAGAAACAAGAGAAAAACATCTCTATGCTTCAGGCTCAGTACAGGGAGATCCAGCGTAAGAACCTCTATTAGCCTGCTCCTGCAGCAGAGCGAGTCGCCAATGCCGCTAACAACTGTGCTGCACCTGCTTCTGCACCTCTTGCTAGTCCTCCTCCTTTTGGAGCACGTGCTGAGCCTCCTACTGTAGCTGCAAATGCCTTTGGCTTCTGCCCTTCGGCCCTGCCTCGTTTTGTCCATGGCAAAACTGATGTGGAGACTTGGCTCTCCATTGCGGAGGACTTCATGTCCATCCACAATGTGGGTAGCGCGGCTCGCGTGGTCGTTGCGGCCCTTGCCCTGGATGACACTGCGAGCAAGTTGGCGTATGCCAACAAGCGCCACGCAGAGGCGAATGGCCACACCTTTGGCTGGGAGGAGTTCAAAGCGGCCATGCTAACGACATTCCTGGTTCAACCCCCGACGCTCGAGGTGCGTAGCCGCCTGGAGAACATCCAGTGCGGTGACCAGCTTGTACGCGAGTACGCCAAGGAGTTTGAGAACTTTGTCGCTGCTGAAGACTGCTCTTCCTGAGAGCGAGGTCATCAAGCGTGTACATGTGGTGAAAGGGGAGCACCGGTGGAAGACCTAGAAGAAGTGTAAGGAGCAGGTCATCAGCACGGATGTGCACTTTCGTGCGTACCTGGACCTCAAGAGCACCCGTGCTCAGCAGCATCCTAGTGCCGAAGGCCCTAGGGGGGGTGGTAGCAGAATCCAGGCGCCCAAGGGCGGTGGCTCTTGGAAGAGGCCCTATCGGCAGAGGGGGGAATCTTCTGGGACTCAGTCCAAGAGGGCCCATGCTGAGCCTGCCAAGGATCCTCAGGATTCTGATAAGCCCCCGGCGGGCTGCCACATCTGTGGCAAGCTCGGCCACAAGGCCTATCAGTGTCGTTGGAGGAAGTCTGTCAAGAACTTCGACAAGCCCAACTAGGGCAAGAAGCCGGTGAGACACGTGCGAAGAAAAAAAAATATCCAACGCTTCATGCCTAAAACTTCCTTTAGTATAAGAAGCTCTTTCGCAAGTCTCTTTTTCGCTTCCGCGGTTTCATGCATCGCGAACGCTAGTTACCCAAAGGTCACGGTGCAGTTTAGCCGTGCTTCAAAGTTCTTCAGTCTTTCAAATCCCGCGCCGGTTCGCTAAGAACAATGGTTCAGGCCCTTCGGGCTCGAAGGATTTTCCGAAGTCCAACTAAGGGGTGGGTACCTAGTTGGTGAGCGAGATCGAGTAGATGAGGCTTATGTTCGTTGTGATGAGGATTTGCTAAAGCTTGAAAAGCTTGCATCATGCAACATCGCTTGTTTGTATGCCTCTTCTATTAATGGAAACTCTGTTTTTAAAACTCGATCATACTTACTTGAAAATAGGGAGCAACAATTTTTCAATAATCTCTTGCTCGTTCAACGAGTTGCCAGCAATCATGGATATTGTGGACCGTTGTGTCCAAGAGCACCCCGCTCACGTCCGTGGGATTGGTGACTCGAATCGTGATAGGAGAGTTATTTCGCTGATTTCACGAATGGCATATCCTGGCAACATGGGACAAATGGCACCACGTCTGGTGGACCAGCTCCCAAAGGTTTGGACGTGCTAGAAACAAATTCAAGGTGTACTATCGATCTCCTAAACTTGTTGTCGCTTGTCCCATTCGTCCAAGATTCCAACAGATTTTACTGTTATCTGGACGCATGAATGGGGACGAAACAAGGATTCTCGTCGATACAGGCGCGTTGATTTCCCTTGTTGATGAAACTTGGGTTACGAGACACAACGTCTTCGTTGTAGGACCGTCATGTCCCACTTGGGTGACGATCGTGTCATTCGAAGTAAAGGACAGACACATATCGACATGAATGTACAGGACAATAGCGAAATAGTTTGCGAGTATGTCCTAGCACTTTTGTCAGGTGTCGACCTCATCCTGGGCATGGATTGGTTGCGAACCAACGAAGTCATTCTAGACTTTCAGTACAACATCGTCTCGTTCAACAAGAACGGAACGACATTCCAGTGGCAACTCAATGATACTTTGCCCACTGAAACACAGACGCCTGAACGTCCCAACGCGCTGTATGTGTTGGCCAACCAATTTGGGCATTTTGTTAAGGCGGCTGATGCACTCTTCGTGGTACAACTTGAGAATGTCGAGGCCTCGGAGCCAGCAATTGAGGAATTCAAGGAAGTGTTTGAAACCATCCCTGATGGACTTCCACCTGACCACGCAGTAGGCCACACCATCCCTGTTGAACCAGGAAAGGTTCCACCCTTTCGACCTCTGTATCGCCTCAGTCCAGCTGAGTACTGTCAAACTCATATGCTATAGCCTGTGTAGGCTGTAGTGGGGTAGACTATATGGAGCACAACATTTCTAGGTTTTCCTACTTGTACCCACCTACTTGCTAGTTCATTCATTCCTCATTCTTCACATGGTATAGAGCAGGCTCCCTAGTAGGAACGCTTCCTTGGGCCCACCACTAATTTTTTTTTTTCCTGACCGGAGCGTCAGTCGCTCCTACCCGAGGCGCGCCTTGTTCGCCGCCCTTCCTGGCCCCTAGCGACCTCGTCTCCGCCCCTACGCGGCCCCGTCGCCGCCCCTAGCGGCCCCAGTCGCCGCCCCTAGCGGCCCCGTCGCCGCCTCTCACCCTACGCGGCCCCGTCGCCGCCCCTAGCGGCCCCATCGCCACCCCTACGCGGCCCCGTCGCCGCCCCTAGCGGCCCCGTCGCCGCCCCTAGCGGCCCCGTCGCCGCCTTAGCGGCCCCGTCGCCGCCTTAGCGGCCCCGTCGCCGCCTCTCACCCTACGTGGCCCCGACGCCGCCCCTACGCGGCCCCGTTGCCGCCCCTACGCGGCCCTGTCGCCGCCCCTAGCGGCCCCGTCGCCGCCCCTAGCGGCCCCGTCGCCGCTCCCTTATCTACGCGGCCCCGTAGCCGTCCCTAGCGGCCTCGTCGCCGCCCCTACGCGGCCCTGTCGCCGCCCCTACCGGCCCCGTCGCCGCTTCCCTTCCTACGCGGCCCCGTCGCCACCACTGCACGGCCCCGTCGCCGCCTCTACGCGACCCCGTCGCCGCCCCTAGCGGCCCTGTCGCCACTCCCCTCCCTACGCGGCCCTGTCGCCGCCCCTAGCGGCCCCAACGTCGCCTCTACCGAGCAGCCCAGCAGCTGAGCCGCCCAACAGCAGAGCCGCCGAGCTGCCCAGCAGCCGAGCCGCCGAGCCGCCCAGCAACCGAGCCGCTGAGCCGCCCGACAACCGAGCCGCCCGACAGCCGAGCCGCCTGACAGCCGAGCCGCCCGACAGCCGAGCCGCCCAGCAGCCGAGCCGCCGAGCCGCCCAGCAGCCGAGCCGCCGAGCCACCCTGCCGTCGAGCCCCTACTGCTCCTACCGGCACGCCCCGGCCCTACTT